ATATTCAAAATTATCTAATTATGCCATTAAGAGATATTAAAAATAGGTTGAGAAACTTCAGTATACATCTGATGGGAGTTCTAGAACAAGGGGCTATAAGAATGACTAAAAAGTGATAACTAAAGAACTACATCCTGAATTTTTCAGAACTGAAAACTTGAAACCTCACATTAAAAGTACACTCTGCATACCAAGCAGGACAAGTAAAAACCAATCACAGTGAGAAACATTCTTTGCAACTATAAGACAGAAGGATAGAGACATTTAAAAGCTACCAGAGATAAGAAATCTCCAAAAGATTATCAACTGTGCAGGCTTCTCAACAGCAACGATAACAGCTAGAAGATAATGAACTAATATCTTTAAAATGCTGAGTGATGATAACTTTATCCATCTAAAGCACCACTAAAGACTGAGGACAAGAGAAAGACATTTTGGGACAAAGACTAAAATAATTTATCTCTAGCATATCCTATCTATAAGAATTTCTAAAGAGCATCCGTTAGCAGAAAGAAAAGAGAACCCCAAGATAGGATGAGGGTGTACTTTTTGGCAAAGTCACTTAACAATGATAATAACAAGATCAATTATTTTTGTAAAGGTTATTCTGAGACTCTTGAAAATAATAACAAGGAGTATTAGGTAGCTAAAGTGTGCTAGGAACATAGTCTTGTTCAAGAAGATGAAAGTGCTGAATACTTTTAACTATAACTTTTTCTCATAAAGCCAAGTATAAGTATATACTGTAAATGTATGTATATATTTATTGAGCACCTGCTCTGTGCCAGACACTGATCTAGGCTCTGGGAATAAGACCACTGAGGGGAAACACTCCTCATTGAGTTTATACTTCAGTAGGAAGAAACTATATATTGTTTAAAAACAGTAGTATAACACAAACAGGCTTGAAAGAAACACACTGGTAAATAGGAAAAGATACACTTGAAAAATGAGATGGTATGATGAAGGAAAAAACTGGTGTAGCAATATTAAAGTCAGATAAAATATTGTTTAAAGTGAGCACTAAAGTATATTGGGCAGCCAGAGCATTTATATAACACCTAACATAGACTTAAAAGTGACAAATGACAGGATTAGAAGAAAAACTGAGTTCATAGTTTAGCATATCTCTATTAAAACAGATAGGTAGGGACTTACCTGGCAGTCCAGTGGTTAGGAATCGCCTTGCAGTGCAAGGGACATGGGTTTGATCCTTGGTCAGGGAACTAAGATTCCACATGCCACAGGGCAACCAAGCCCACACACCACAGCTAAGACTCGATGTAGCCAAATAAATGCATATCCTTAAAAAATAGGTAAACAAAATTGGTCACGAAAACACATATACCTTGTTTTATTGCACTTCCCTTTATTGTGCTCTGCAGACACTACAGTTCAGCCACTCAGTTGTGTCCGACTCTGCGACCCCATGGACTGCAGCATGCCAGGCCTTCCTGTCTATCACCAACTCCCAGAGTTTACTCAAACTCATGTCCATTGAGTTGGTGATGCCATCCAACCATCTCATCCTCTGTCGTCCCCATCTCCTCCTGCCCCCAATCCCTCCCAGCATCAGGGTCTTTTCCAATGAATCAGTTCTTTGCATCAGGTAGCCGAAGTACTGGAGTTTCAGCTTCGGCATCAATCCTTCCAATGAATATTCAGGACTGATTTCCTTTAGCGTGAATTGGTTGGATCTCCTTGTTGTCCAAGGGACTCTCAGAGTCTTCTCCAACACCACAGTTCAAAAGCATCAATTCTTCAACACTTAGCTTTCTTATAGTCCAACTCTCACATCCATGCATGACTACTGGAAAAACCATAGCTTTGACTANGGGGGGTGGGTTTACATATAAAAGGCTCTCCATGGGCCTCCCTATTCACTTAGGCACAATGATATTGAAACCAGTGACCTTGATATTAAAATCAGATAAACTTACAGTGGCTGCTAAGGGTTCAAGTGAAAGGAGTTGCATTCCTCTCACTTTAAATCAAAAGCTAGAAATGATTAAGCTTAGTGAGAAAGGCATGTTGAAAGTTGAAACGGGCCAAAAGTTAGGCCTTTTGAGCCCAACAGCCAAGTTGTGAATCCAAAGGGAAGGTTTTTAAAGTAAATTGAAAATGATACTCCAGTGAATTCATGAATGATAAGAAAACAAAACAGCCTTATTGCTGATATGGAGAAGGTTTTGGGATCTGCATAGATCAGGCAGCCATGGTGTTCCCTTAAGGCCAAGCCTAATCTAAGACAAAGCCCTAACTATAATTCTGTGAGGGCTGAGAGAGATGAGGAAGCCACAGAAGAAAGGTTTGAAGCTAGCAGGGGTGGATTTCGTGAAGTTTAAGGGAAGAAGTCATCTCTGTAGCATCAGAGTTCATGGCAGAGCAGCAAGTGCTGATGTAGAAGCTGTAGCAGTTTATCCAGAAGATCGTTCATGAAGGTGGCTGTTCTAAACAACAGGTTTTCAGTGTAGACAGAACAGGCTTCTATGGGAAGAAGAAGCCACCAGGACTTTCATAGCTAGAGAGGAGAGGTCAGTGCCTGCCTTGAGAGCTTCACAGGGCAGGATGACTCTCTTGTTAGGGGCTAATGTAGCTGGTCTGGTGGCTCAGTGGTAAAGAATTTACCTGCCAATGCAGGAGACGTGGGTTTGATCCCTGAGTTGGGAAAATCCCCTGGAGAAGGAAATGGCAACCCACTCCAGTATTCTTGCCTGGGAAATTCCATGGACAGACGAGCCTGGTGGGCTATAGTCCATGGGGTTTCAAACGAGTAGGATATGACTTGGCAGCTGAACAACAACAAAATGCTCATTTGCCATTCTGAATTATGCTAAATCTTCTCTTCCTGTGCTCTGTAAATGGAACAACAAAGCATGAGTGACAGCACATCTGGTTACAACATGGTTTACTAAATATTGGAAGCCCACTATTGAGATCTACTGCTCAGAAAAAAGAGATTCCTTTGAAAATATTATTGCTTATTGACAGTGCGTTTGGTCACCCAAGCACTCTGATGGAGATGTACAAGATTAATGTTATTTAATACCTACCTTCTCAACATCCATTCTTCAGCCCATAGATCAAGGAGTAATTTCAACTTTCAAGGCTTTATTATTTAAGAAATATATTTGGGGGAAAAAAAATATATATTTTGGGAATGGTACATCTCTCAGCTTGCAGGATCTTAATTTCCTGACCAGGGATTGAACCTGGTCACCTCAGTGAAAGTGCCAAATTCTATCCACTGGACTGCCAGAGAAGTCCCATAAGAAATACATTTTTAGGCTATAACTACCATAGTGATTCCTCTGATGGATTTGGGTAGTTAAGTGAAAACCTGGAAAGGATAGACCATTCTAGATGCCATTGAGAATATTCATGATTCAAGGGAAGAGGTCAAAATATAAATATTAGCAGGAGTTTGAAAGAAGTTGATTCCAACCCTCATGGTGCCTTGCAGGGCTTTAAGACTTTGGTGGAGGAAATAACACCCAATGTGGTAGAAAAGTAGCAAGAGAACTAGAATCAGAAGTGGAACCTGAAGATGTGACTAAATTGCTTCAATCCCATGATAAAACTTTAATGGATGAGGAGTTGCTTGTCATGGGTGAGCATTAAGAAAATGATTTAATTTTCTTTTATCTTAGATTCTTAATGGAATATACTCCTGGTGAAGATGCTGTGAGGATTGATGAGATGACAACAGAGAATTTAGAATATTACATAAACTTAGTTGATAAAACAGAAGCAGGGTTTGAGAGGATTGACTTCAGTTTTGAAAGACATTCTACTTTGGGTAAAATGTTACCAAACAGTAATTCATGCGACAGAGAAATTTCTCATGAAAGGAAGAGTCAATGGATGCAGCATACTTCATTATTATCTTGTTTTAAGAAAGTGCCACAGTCATCCTATCCTACAGAAACCACCCTGATCAGTCAGCAGCCTTCAACGTCGAGGCAAGACCCTCCACAACAAAAAGAGTATGACTCACTTGAAGACTCAAGTGTTGGTTAACATTTTTTAGCAATAAAACATTTTTTAATTTAGACATGAGCATTGTTTTTTAGACTCTTATGAGTAGATAATACATTCTACATTATAATATAAACATAAGTTTTATATGTACTGGGAAACAAAATAATCCCCATGACTCACATTATTATGGTATTTGTTTATTGTGGTGGTATGGAACCAGACTTACAGTATCTTTGAGAATGCCTATATAGAAGATTTGAACAACACAACTAATAAAGTTGGTCTAATACATATAGAAAATTTTGTACCTAACAAATAGGTACATTATTTCTGAGCACACAAGTACTTTATTTCTGAGCACACAAGTACTTTTAAAAAATGGACTATGTCCTAAATCACAAAAGAAGTTTCCAAAATATAAGGTAACCAGAATCAAGTAGACTACATTCTGTGACTATAAAAATTTAACTTGTAATCAATAATTTAAAAAAAAAATCTTTAAAAAAGTTCACCTGAATAGAAACTAAAAAATGTATTATAAATAACTCATAGGTTAAAGAGGAAGCTTGAAAACAGCCAGCAAAGCAGACATGAAAGGAGGCGCATATTAAATAAAAGAACAGAAGCTAATAAAATGGTGGAAATGATTAACATTTTCCTAATTGTATATTGTGATAACCAATGATAGGATGAGCAGAATTGGCCAAGAAGAATATAGGTATTATTTGAGCCTCTATTCCTATTCATGGTTTATTTTCTATATTAGTAATCTTTTCCTTTAGACAATATCTAATATGGGCTAGTAAGAAAATTTTAGAACTCAGGCTATAGTATATATAGTCATTGTCAAATTTTCAGCAGTATATCTTTTCCATATAATGAGAAAATCATAGGACTGTGTAAGTGCAAACATCAGACTTGTATAATTATTTTACTATTTATTTAAAAAGATTTTACAGTGGTCTTTAATAGAAATTTCTATTTATATATTTAAGATACTCTTCTTTCCCTTCTTGTAGGTTACTCAGATGAGTCGTCCAGATCTGATTCTCTTTCTGATGAAATACTTGATGGCTCTCATAGTTGGTATTCCTTCCATTTTTTGGGTTGGAAGCAAAAAGACTTGCTTTGAATGGGCCAGTTTTTTCCACGGTCGTAGGAAAAAAGAGTAAGTTGAAGTAAATTATCATGGTGTTCACAGGCTTCACATTTACATAATTTTGTGTGTGTGTGTGTGTTTCCTGTGTTGAAACAATTTGGATTTGGAGGAAATATTCCAACAAGATTATACCTCAGTTGCCACCAGGTATGATTAAATCTTAAACCTAAAAACTTAATTCAGAAAAGATAGCCAAGTAGAACCAGGCTTAAGGCCTGTTCCGTACTAATTCAGAATATTTGAGGGAAAGCCAATCTTTTTTAAAAAAACTCCAAATTATAATCTTCTTAAAAACAAATGAATGCTTATATATGTATATTCTTATTTGATCTTTTTGACATTTCTGTGATGACTAGTATTATCATCTCTGTGTTAAAGATGTGAAAACTGATGCACAGAGAGGTTCAGTGCCTTGGCTAAAGTTACACAGTATTAGACTTCCATTTCCAGTTGTCCATTGTTCTTCCAAGTTACACCATAAGTTATTTAAAGGGATAGCATGTTATTTTATTCTAAGTCATACACATTAAAGCCAAAATAGTAAAATGATATTAACAGATAAAATGAAATATTGTTAAAGATGTTATTTTAATTCATAGTTGACCAAATTGCATATTAGAGAGTCATGATAATATAAGATTTGGGCATATTTGAGGAATCTCACTTTTTGACCCCTTAATTAATAGAACAAAATAAGACCCTGCAGTATTCCCAAAGGAACAGATATGACCAAACTTTTTACTAAGTGTAAAGCTAATATTTATACTGTGTTTGAATTGTCACAAATTCTAAGTTAGTGGAATCCATATTCTTATGATTTTATTTAAGTTACATGGAAAATAAATTTTGTGAAAATTAATTTCTATTAAAGTCTTAAGATTATATGTAAAATGTTATTGTGTTTTGTATGGGTTGATGTACTTTTAAAATACATCTTAAGTTACCACATTATCAGAATCTTGTGTTTTCTCAATTATCAGTAATTAGCAGCTTCTGTTACACAGATTAGATTGAAATCTATAAAATCACAATTTTAAAATATACATTCCTTATTACCATATCTGAGACTACTGCTAGTGATATCAGACAATGCATTTCTCCTTTAAATGCAATTTCATTGGGCAGAGAAGGAAAGAAGGGAAAGGTTAATTCAACAATGACAAAAATGTATTNATTAGCCATGTATTTACATGTACTCCCCATCCCAGTCCCCCCTCCCACCTCCCTCTCCACCCGATCCCTCTGGGTCTTCCCAGTGCACCAGGTCCAAGCACTTGTCTCATGCACCCAACCAAGGCTGGTGATCTGTTTCACCCTAGATAATATACATTAATCACAGTAAAACATAATTCTAAGGAGAAGGTTTGAATTAGCATTCCTGGTCACCTCTGGGTCACACACAGGCCATTCTGTCACACAGCAATTCTGTTGTGTTAGAAACTCCAGATGGGGCTAAACTGAACCAATGCTGCCCTTTTGGGGACTCATTCCAGTTATTTGGGGGATCCTGGCTGGGCCAGAATCCTTTTGAAACTGGTTAGACCTCCCCAAACCCTTCCATTCGGTTTTCTGGAACCATGGACCTACCACCTACTTCCCTGACTCAGCAGAGTCATTGTGACCCTCCAGCTGGGGCTGTGCTCTGGGCTGGAGTCTCGCTCCTCCAGAGTGTGAGCAGCCTGCAGTCATTTCTAGCATTTGTCTGGCTGAGCCTGTGAGATGTGACTAGAGAGTAACCATAATAATGGTTTCCAATCAGTTGAGCCCACTTAATACTCCAAGCACTGTTCTAAGCATTAAATCATTTAGTTCTCTAGACAACCTTGTAAGGAAGATTGTCATTTTACAGATCAGAACACAGAACCATGGTTCAATAGCTGGTGAGTGGCAGAACTGAGATTCAAACCCGAGCAGTCTGATTCTAGCCTCCAGTCTCTGCTGTTCACCCCTCTGTTACGCCGTGTTGTCGAAAGACTGGCTTCTAAAATTATGCCAATCAAATTAGTGTTCTTTCTCTCAGGGAAGCCACATTTAAGATTGCTTTTGCTAATAATTCTGACACTGGTTGAAATATTTTTAGAAATCTTGTTTTGGAGTTACCTGGGTCACATCACTTCATTTTTCTGAACCCCTGTTTTCTTATTTGTAAAATGAGGAGACAGACCTTCAGCATTTGAAGTTAGGTTGAAGTTTTGGAATGACCAGAAGTCAGTTTGAACCAATTTTTAAAAATAAGTTTAGAAAATAAATTTAACAATCCAGAGCAAATTTGGATGTATGTACATGTGCACAGGGCCATTGATGACAGAAGAATAAATGTTGTAATAACTATGTTTGAGTTGTTCCTTCTTCTATCTAGTTTTTGATACTTTCAGGATATATGTAAACATTATGTTTTATCATTACTTTATGATTCACTTTGAAACATTTAAACTTAAGTTTGATCCCCAACTGTTGTTTTGCTGTATGACTTTTAAAAAGTTCTTTAATCCCTGTGACCTCAGTTTCTTCATCTATAAATTGGGAACCACAATATTTACTCTTGATGGACATCTACCCCATAGAAGTGTCTGTTTAGAAGTTAATCTCCATAATAAGAACATTATTAAGAAAGATTAGTAGAGAATATATGTAAAACACCTGGCACTATGCAGGTACTCAACAAATACTAGTCTTCTTTGAGTCCTTCTACCCCAGCACTAAAAATAACAATAGCAATAACAGCAGTGGTTCTTTTCTAATTTGAAAACTTAGAATATGTGCACTTTGTCAATTTATGATCTAATCTTCACATCAGAATATTTTTTTTAGTAATATTGTCTAATTTTAACTTTATGATTCTTTTTTTTTAATTTTAGCTTTATGATTCTTATAGTCGCTTATTTACCCAAACTGATACACCGGCCTTTGCACCTATTTAATTGGCTCTTTAATTACCATTTTGCTCATCAACATAAACACCTATCTGCTTTTAGCCTTTTCATAGCAGTTGAAAACTTTAGCTCTGGACATAATTCATCCCCTTAATTCTTTTTTTCCTAAGTCTTTATTATGTCTGGGACTTCATTGTATGTTTGGTTAAATTAATTTTTCATACATTTTGTTCTAGTTACGGTCATTCATGTTTAAGCACTAGACAACAGCTTCTGTCATAAAATCAACTTGTAACCTAAAAACAACTGCTCTTACAAATTAAAAAAATGAGTCTATGCCATGATGAGGCCTCCACTACTTCTATAAACCATGCAAGAAAATAATATTTTTACTTTATAGTAGTACCTTTGCAATATTTCAGTGTCCTCGAGAATGATAAATTTCTTTAGCCGAAAGGGACTTTTAAAAAATGATGAAATTGTATGCCTTCATTTTATAGATGAGGAAAATTAAGAAAAGGGGATAGTGACTTGCCTAAGATCACATATTTATTGATAGAGTTAGAACTAAAATCCTGATTTCCTTATTTTAATATGAACCTCTTTCCATCATACCAGTTTAGGGGACAGATTGACACAGATTTATGTTTTAGTCTCTCTTCTGTCAACAGTGTTACCTTACATCTCTCCTAAAGACATTGGTTGGAGAGCTTTTTTTTTTGAAGAATAACATCAGTCTGTCAGTATTGTTTTTGGTCTGTAGGTTGTTATCTTACACTTAGTATTTTGTCATCTAGGATAGTGAATGAGAGCCGACAGGTACTCCAGGAACCTGATTTTGCTCAGTCCCTCCTGAGGGATCCAAATACTCCTATCATAAGGAAATCAAGAGGAACTTCCACTCAAGGGACATCCACACACGCTTCTTCAACGCAGCTGGCCATGGTGGATGACCAGAGGAGCAAAGCAGGAAGTGTCCACAGCAAAGTGAGCAGCTACCACGGCAGCCTCCACAGGTCCCGTGATGGCAGGTGAGTTTTATCGGCAGCTTAGTTTATTTCACGTGCTGAGTTAGAGTCACACGGCGTCCGAAGGAAGAGCAGCTAATTCTGAAACAGAAGTTGGTCATTGTTAACCTTTCTGAACTTTGCTAGGTTCAGTTGTCCCAGATTATGGTCAGACTTAATGCCAGTCAGAGGAGTTTAGACGCGATGCAGTGAGCAATGTGGAGTCGTTGCACATCAGGGAGAAGGCAGAGTAAAAGTGGTTATTTTAGTGAAATTAACTTAGCAAACAATTATGGAGTACCTACTATGTCAGACATTGTGTGAGTCTCCAGGAATGCAAAACTGATTTAGGCATGATCTTTTTTCTTAATAAGCTCAAGAAAATTGGAGTAGTCATTTGTGTTGTAGTTGAAAGCATGGGATCTAGAATAATAAGCCTCAGTTTCCTCATCTGTAAAATGGAAATAGTAATAATATCTGTCCCTTTAGCAATGTTGTAAAAAATAAATGACATAATATACCTAATTGCTCAGAACAGTGCCTGTCTCAGTACGTGCCTGTTATCCCTTTTATTATCAATATGATAAAGTAATAATTAAAGTAAAATGCAAATATAATGGTATAGTCCAGAGGTTGTCAAATTTTTCTATGAAGAGAAAAATAACTAATAAATATTGTATTATAAATGAAATAACATAATAAATAACTTTAGGCTTTGTGGGTTACATGCTTTGTTGGCACCGTTCATTTCTGCTGTTAACACCATGAAAGCAGCCACAGACAGTACGCAGTGAAAATAGGAGTGGCTGTGTTCCAGTAAAACTGTTCACAGAAATAGTAAGGGGCCCAATTTGACCAGCAGGCCACAGTTGGCCAGCCTCTGTTTGGTAGCATGAACAAGGGGGTGATTAAATCTGGTGGGGAGGAGGTGGGAGAAGGCTTCACAGAGAAATGTCTGAGAGTGAGCAGGATGTGCTTTCTTGTTATATTTGATGATAGAGACACTACAATTAGAAACCTCTTAGGAGCTCTGCAGTAATTCAGTTAAGAGATGATGGAGGTTTATGAAAGAACAGTGATGTGCCAAGACAGTAAGAACTGATCTGAAAGATAGTTAACAAGAAGAAATGAAATGATCAGAGTTGGTGATGGATTAAAAGCAGTTGGAGAGAAGGAATGTGCCAAAAGAAATTTTTTTTTTAAGATTTCTAAGCTTGGGAAACTGAAAGAATGAAAATTATGATGCCTGAAATTCTCTGTTCTGTGTCTCCGTAGCTGTCCTGTATCCTTCCAGTCTCCTTTCAGCCTTTCTTTCAGTCTTCCCTGTCCTTATCATGTAGGATATGATTCCTAGACATACTCTCTTTTTAGATCTTCCTGTTTGTCCTCTCAATTTGCTTTCTTTTGCAGTCTAACTTGCGCAGCTACTTAGGTTTTGAAAAGGAGCAGCCTTTCTTTATCTTTGATGTTTTCTATCTTATATCCATTTCTTTTTATTTTCCTTGCCAGATTTTTGAAATATTTTGAATATTTCCTTTCTACCAATTCCATCCTTCATTCCTTGTATTTCTGGTCTTTTTCACCTTCTTGCCCAACTTCTAACATAACCAATGACCTGTTTTTAAACCACCGTCTAAGATCCTTTCTCTTTCCTGCCATTTCCTTTCATTCAGCACTCCTAAGTGAAAAGCATTCTTCTAGGTGCTAGGAACGCAGAGATGGAAGACAAAAGAGTAGTAGGTATGATAAAATCATACACAATGTGCTTTGGGATTCCAGAGGAGAAAGCCTTTTAAGTCACTGTGGAAAGTCTTGTTCACAAACCAGGTAGTACTTTAATTTGACTAGGGTACAGAGGAGGCAGTTGGAAATCTCAGACAATGAAACAGCATATGCAGAGGCAAGGAGGATGAAAAGGCAATTAGGTATCAGGGCCATTGTAAGAGATACTGAGGAGTTCGGGGGTTTTGCCCCTAGAGCAATGAGAAACTATTAAAAGACTTTGAGCATTGGGGTGATAAAATCAGATTTGTGTTTTAGGAAGATGACTTTGACAACAGCATAGGAGAGGAGGTTGTAAGTAAGCCCAATTGGGAAGTTTCTAGAGTAAAATTAGAGCTCTTAACTTAAGACACTCATAGAAAGAGAGGAAACCAGAGAATCTTTCAGAATACCTGCCTCCATGACCTGCTAGCTCCAGTTGGCGCTAGTGGTAAAGAACCCACCTGCCAATGCAGGAGACATAAGAGGCATGAATTTTATCCCTGGGTTGAGAAGATTGTCTGGAGGAGGAAATGGCAACCCATTCTTGCCTGGAGAATCCCATGGACAGAGGAGCCTGCCATAGGGGCACAAAGAATTGGACATGACTGACGTGATAGCATAGCATGGCTCCATGAACTGACTTTCAGCAGTGTTTGATAGTTGACATTATTAGCCTCATCCTTTTCCATAAGGAGTGAACAGTTACACTATAGCTCTTATGCATGTGGCTTCTGTGTATTAAGAGAGATATAGAAGAAAGCTAAAGTATGATTTCTGCTTTCCAGGAGAATAGAACCTTACAGGAAAGGTATGACACATACATAATAACCAATTAAAAATAGTTCAAGCTGGCATATAATTAAAACAGTGAGTGTTAGAGATGATCAGTGTTACAGAACTTCAAATGATCAGATTGGCCTCTCTGAAAATATCTCAGAGGAGATAAATAGGGTGAGCAAATGGTAATACAAGTAATGAGTTCATATTGAGCAGAGAATTTCTGAAGGGAGTTAAATATAGGAAAATTTTAGCTTCTGTAATCTAAATGAAATTAAACTTTTTAGGTAAGAAAGCTTATAATCTTTAATATAAGGTAGTGGTAATTAAAAAGCTGTGAGATGGAATTCCTTGAAGCTTAATAAAAAAGGATATACCAAGAACAAGATCATCAGTCATCATCAGTTCAGTCACTCAGTCAAGTCCGACTCTTTGCGACCCCACAGACTGCAGCATGCCAGGCTTCCCTGTCCATCACCAACTCCCGGAGCTTACTCAAACTCATGTCCATCAAGTCGGTGATGCCATCTAACCATCTCATCCTCTAGGAGGATGTTGTCCCCTTCTAGGAGAAGAACATGATACAGTAATGAAAACAATACAATAAGAATAGCCTAGCATTTGATTCAGAGAAAATGCTTATAAACACATGAAGGTCTCTATGAAAGTTTAGTGTCATGGAAACTAGGGGATAGCGTATGACCTCCTGTGATGGCCTTTCTTATCTCTCTGGTTAATTAAAATCACACTCATCCTTTAAGTTCTGCTTAATCCCCATACCATGGCAGCTAATTAATTGCTTTTTAAACATTCTTTGAGTGTGACCTATTTTCAGTACAGTTTTTTTCCCTCAGCTAAGTTTGCAGTTTCTGGAGAATGTGAACTTGCTGACAGGTGTCTGTATATCCCTTGACAGTATCTAGCCCTGTGTTGTTTTTCAGTTGCTAAGTCATGTCCGACTCTTTGCGACCCCATGGACTGTAGCCTGCCAAGCTCCTCTGTGGGATTTCCCAGGCAAGAATACTGGAGTGGATTGCCATTTCCTTCTCCAGGGGATCTTCCCAACCCAGGGGTCGAACCCATGTCTCCTGCATTGGCAGGCAGATTTTTTATCACTGAGCCATGAGGGAGGAAACAAATAAATCTGTCAGATAACTTTAGAGATAATTTGGGCATGCCATCTCATGGATATTTCTTTCTGCATCAGTCAGTTTTTAAGTTTACATGTTAGCACTATATTTTGGCCATGGTTTTCTTATCATCTCATGTTATCTTGGCTGTGAGATTACACATATGCACACATATCTGCTTCTCAGTACTCACTCTAGTCCAGATTCCTTGATGGATAATTACTGATCTCAGTGCTATGTAAAATAAAATAGACTTAGGTAAATATACCTACACATATATATCGACTTCAAAGAATAAGTAATTGGTAGTTAGATGAGAGGATATAGAAAAGGAAATGGATGAGTAGCTGGATGGAATTTGAGAATGAGTGGTTAGTTTGGTAAGTGGGTGACATTTTACTGTGTAGTTGAGTCCTAATTATCCATGGGCAGGTGGTTCATATACTAGAATTTTGTGAATAACCATATATTTCACTTAAATAGACATAGCTCAGTTTTTTCTGTGAAAAAGCTATTCTTTGAGTCTTATTCAGTAAACTAAATTCAAAGATTTAGGTTTCAGTTTTAGAAAATGTAATTCATATTTTTAATTACTTTGATATCATCATATTTTGCTTTTTTCATTTGTCATATTTACTTGAATTAGATATTTATGAAGTCATCAAGAGGTGAAAGTTCTCCAAATTAGCTAGCAAGTCATAGTTAGAAAAATTTTCAGTTTAGGGCAATAATTATTATGTAAAATAATTATTAACTAGAATAATATGCTTATTTTATTTTCATTATTTTAATTTGCAACATTGTAATTATTTCATCAAAACTTACAAATCAAATTTAAAACCTTTATGTTCTGAATGTGAAGTCTTTTAATAAATAAAAATTAAATGCTCTTTTACCCATTAACTTGAGAAATTTAAAAATATTCTAAAGGTAGTTTTTCATTCTTAAATTTTCTTTTTTGCTTTACTCAAACGGGAGAAGACATGCTTTCTTTTATCATTTTAAAAGGACTTAATTTTTAAACTTTATGATCTAATGAAAACATTGTTTGATAAGCACTGCTATATAAGACTAGATCACCTCAGTAGTATATGAATCAGTCTTTAGAATCTTTAAATTTTACAAATGATTCATAATGAGTCATGAAGTTTGTTATAATAATTAATTGAGAGAAATGATAAATTGGTATTTTCTGACAGCCAGTAGGTCTTCAGCTGTTCATGACTAGTTCTTTTGATGACTTTAATAAAGGAAAAACCTGCTAACTCCTTTTTACTTTTAGAAATACTACTAAAAATTTAATGTATTAATTATATTTGGTTGTTTTCTTTGATCATTGTTATTCTAAATTAAATACTTTTTACAAAACTGTGTATAGTTATTTGGGGGCTTTCCCGGTGGCTCAGTGGTTAATAATCCACCTGCAATGCAGGAGCCACAGGAAATACAGGTTCAGTCCCTGGGTCAAGAAGATCCACTGGAGGAGGGCATGACAGCACACTCCAGTACTCTTGCTTAGAGAGTCCCATGGACAGAGCAGCCTGAAGGCTATGGTCCATAGGGTCACACAAAAAGCTGGACACGACTGAGTGACTTAGCATGCACGCACATATAGTATATATGACAGTGAGTTTTCTTAGCTCTAATGGGGACTCAGTGAATCAGAATCGCAACAAAAGAAAATTTTAACAGGTCCCACTGCTGCCTTTCAAGATAAATAGAATGATGGAGAGGATGGCCTGTGATGAGCAATGGAGCCCAGTTGACGCACTCCGAAGCTGCATCCTGGGGAAGGGATAAGGAGAGAATTTGCTTCATGGGTTACAAAGCATTGGGAGGTTGTTAGTTGTGTATTTAAGTTGGTACTATATTAAGTAGCTTTTATGAACTAGCATCCTGACCGCCGCAAGCCCTAATGAAAAGTAAGACCATTTACAGGTAGTTAACTGAGCTATTAACTGGGCTGTCTGGAAGGAAGCTGTCCACACTTTAAGCATCATCGTTGCTTGCCAGCTCCCTCACTTTTTTAAGGTTCTGCTAATTTCTCCTCTAATTTCATATGCTCCCTTTTCCACTCCCAGGGTTGTAGTGAAATTGGAGTTTGCTGTACCATGACTGTCACCATTCTTCTAGATTGCCTGGGATGATGCCATATTTCTTCTGTTCTTATTCTTCCTCTCCCGAGACCCACCTCACAATCCAAAACTTATTTGAATGAGAGAAGTATCCTTACTTAGCATAGTTCTAGATCAGTGGGCTCTGCTTAACTTCAGCTTCTGTCTCTTTGCAAGGCAGCTCTTAATTCTGAGCCTAATTAGGAGATTTTTTTCTCCCTTTTGTTTGGCCATTTGAATAATTCAACAATGTAAATCATGAAATTATTTTGTAAATCAGTTTTATTTTCATGAAAAATTTTAGTGTTATTTTCTAGTGTGTTCTGTTACCTCCCACATTAGGTACACTCCCTGCAGTTACAGAGGAATGGAGGAGAGACTACCTCATGGCAGCATGTCACGACTTACAGATCACTCCAGGCACAGTAGTTCCCATCGGCTCAATGAACAGTCACGACATAGCAGCATCAGAGATCTCAGTAATAATCCTATGACTCACATCACACATGGTACCAGCATGAATCGGGTTATTGAAGAAGATGGAACCAGTGCTTAAATTGTCCTGTCTAAGGTGGAAAATTTGTGCTGTTTAAGAAGCAGATTTTATTCTTTGCCTTTGCATGACTGATTGCTATAACTCACTGTTAAGATGCTTTCAGTCAGGTGCAGATTGTGTCCATTGAAAAGTAAATTTTTGCTTTTTATATTGCATCAAACTTGGAACCTCAAGGCACCCAAAATGCTAAGAATGATATCATCACATAAATAATTCTTATTTCTAGGTTATGAAGAAATAATTATTTGTCTGGTAAGCATTTTTATAAACCCACTTGTTTTATATTTGGAAAAATCCTAAATGTATGGTGACTGCTTTATAGTGAACTTTCATATAATATCAACTAGTTGTGAGGTAACATTCTGGTAGTTCTGTTAATAAAACAAAATTTCAGAATTAAAGAAATTTTCTATGCAAGGTTTATTTCTCAGATGAATAGTAGGACTTTGTAGTTTTCTTTCCACTAAGTGAAAAAGAACTGTGTTTTTAAACTGTAGGAGAATTTGATAAATCAGCAAGGGTATTTTAGCTAATAGAATATAAAAGCAACTGAAGAATCTGATTAGTCTACTGAAGACTCTTTTGAAATTCTGTCAAAATAGTCTTTATCCAGAGAAATACAGGAGTAGGATTAGCAACAGAGTAAAAGCAGAGATGGGCATTTTTTTCTCAGTAATTGTGCTGTTTTTATTACTTTTGTAAATATTACTTTTACTGGCTGTGTTTTTATATTGATAACTTATCCATATGCATGACAGAAAATTTTTACTTTTAGCCATTTTTTCCCATGTAGTAGTATTGATTTGTAGAGAACTTCATGTTCAGATATGTTCTATGGAAGCATGTAATAAGATAAGCATCACACACTGTAAGTCTTTTTGTAGTAACCATAGTTAAAAAACAGCAAAGTGTTTCCTCTGTATCTGTTACTGTGTTTTTTGCAGTGAGATGTAATCTTGCCAAAGCCGCCAGATGTTGGTATCCAGACCCCTCCTATCAGTGGACTTACTGTTCGCACTGGCATTGCCCAGTAGCCGATAAGCTACAGCTTTTGCCCCACACCCCTGTCTTCAGATTCTGGGTCGTTCTTGTTTACAGCTGAAATATGTATATAACCCGAGTCCACAGTGGTGATTAATTTGGGATATTTGAAATTCATTGTAGCATGAATTAGTCCTGCTGTGAAGTATCTTTTAACTTTAAAAATATCAATTCAAAAATCTTTGACATTTTGTCTTGTAATATTTAAATAACTTCTAATAAAAATTGTAAACTTTATTAGGCATGATAATGATCGTAAGGGAAAGAAAAATTCTGGAAAATGCTGGATGTATTATGTAGACAAGCATATTTAAACAAGCCATCCTCAACCCTGACTACAGATAAGAATCATTCGGGCAATGCCTGACTCCTTCCTCTCATTGAGATGAGGACTGGTAGTTTTATAAAAAGCTTCCCCAGTGATTCTAATCTGCTGCAGGCCTGACTGCAGGCTGTTTGAAAGTAACTTGCCCCTGCTGACAATGTGATGGCATCATGTTATATCATGTGAAAACCTAGCTGGACTCAGTGTTAGGCTTTTATATCCTTTACCTGATTGATCTACAACTGGAATTTTGGACCCCACTCCTAAAAATCTGTGCTCAGTAAGTCAAAGATGATGGTAGGACTTTAAAAATCTGTCATCATAAAAATATTAATATCATAGGTGATTCTTATGCAGATATCCAAGAATCAAACTTTAAAAAATATTCTAGACTCCAGAGAGGTCTGGCTTTGCCATGTGCTAGTTTTTGACCTTTTACAAGTTAATTTCTCTGAGCCTCAGTTCCCTTGTTTTTGAATGAAGATAGAAAATAAATACCTACCTCACAAAATTGTCAATAAGTATCAGACAAAAAGTCATATGAAAGCTGAAAGCTCTTTGAAAACTTTAGTGTTATGAACTAGAACGGATTAAGATTATTGAGGACTTAAGATATTTGTTTGAGGGCTACCATAGTACAATCTTTGACATGTGTTTGAATTCATGTGGACTTTTTCCTCTCCTTCTTTAAAACAAAATGTACCAAGAAATTTGGTGTTGGAAAAGCTTTCATCAGGCACAGAAGTCAGTTTTCTGATAATAATAATTTGTTTGCCTGTCATTTTTTTTCTTTCACAGTACATATTTCTTAATATTTATTATTAATTCTTCATAAGATATTTGAACATTTGGCTCAAATGCTTTACTTTTTCCTCCATCCTCATTGTCTTTCTCCTTGAAACTGGAGTTAATACTCAAGACAAGTAGAGTCTGAATTCCCTCACATGTGACAGTCGACCTTTACTCTGAAGATCAAATTGGTAACAACTCATTTATGAATAAATCTAATTCATGAGGCTTTTGTCTGAGGATTTCTCCTGAGAACAGCATGAAAGACAAAAACAAACATTCAGACACAAAAATAAGTTAGCAGAGAAGGTACCAGTTTGAGCTCAAAGATGCTGTCATTCATTGCCATCTGCATTATATCATCCATTGCCAGAATGTTAATTGGTTTCTTTGTGGGCCAAGTATAGACAGTTAAGTGAACATCAATGTGAAAATCTTAACCCTGTGCTTCCTGATTTTTAAATATTCATTTGTATCTTCTCTATTAAACTGTTGATATATTTGTAAATGCTTTATTGGCCTTTCAGTTACTTTCACTATCTTAGTTTTGCTTCACAGAATTTACTTAATATTGTTAATACGTCATTTTAAATAACAGATTTAGTTTGGGTTGTGTTATTTATCCAACTAGTGCTCCGAATTAGGGCTTTTTTCTTTAAAGAGACAGTTGAAGAACTACAGCAGAACAACAATTTCAAGTCTCAACTAGCTTAAACCAACTTGAACAAGTCTAGACAGCTTTCTTACCATATGTTTAATTAGTGTTGTGATTGGCAGATGATAATGTTTAGTATTTTATTTGTTCAGTTGACAACTGAGAAAATAATAGTTCTCTCTAAAATGTTAACAAATAACCAAAAAGTTTTCGAAAAGTACTCTGATTTCAGCAATATTGTATTGGATTTTTTCAGTGATTAAAGCAAACAATTCAAAACAGTGTTAAGCTCGAAACAATAATTAGTTTCAAAGAACAGTTAATAACTCAGCAACTAGAAGAGGGCATGGTAGGTTTTCAATTAAAATATTAAAATAAATGAATGTTATGCAACTCACTTTAGTCGTGATAGTCTCAGTTTAAAGAAATTTGAAGAATCTAAATTTAAGCTAAGTAAAATGAGTCTCTGCTTGACCGGAATAATATGTGGCAAGTAATAATCGATGAATTGCACCAAATAAAGTTTATTTCTCCTAGAGTAACAGTACATATTACTATTTTAATTAAATATATATACAAACTTATACTAATACTTTATATTAATTTTAAAAGGTGAACAGCAGTTTTTAGAAGTAAGTAGGTTCTTCTTGGTTTTATGTGAAATTAGATCTTTGTATACTAGTTGGGTGAATGAATATTCAAGTAAACCTTTATCAATGATGATTTTCTTTTTCTAAAACTGTTTCTTGGAGCAGATTTAAGAAAATTCTAAGAATCTCTTCAAATGAGGGAAATTAACTACATTTTAACCTACCTCATTAGTTTCTTTGTGATAATAGCTGGAAATAACTGAAGTTGTAACTTTATTGGTGTAGACTATATCTTCATGAAATAAAAGGAACTACTTAAAATTTTTTCATAAAATAGTGGATCATTGGCTGGAGCTTAGAAAATGTTAACATACCAAATTTTCACTATGATGATATTTATATTGCTTTTGACATGCCAAAGGTATATTTATATATTATCATACTTGGATGACTAACATAGTCTAGTGTAATGAAAATTGCCCTGGGCTTGGAATTCAAAAGACCCATAATAATGATGTAAACTGAACAGGTCATTTAATTTCTCTTTGTCTCAATTTCTTTGATGTAAAATGAGGATAAGGTAATTTGGGGCTCTGAGACCTGCTGTACAGGACATTGTGAGGATCAAATGAGCTAACAAGAATTATAGTGCTCTTTAAAAAAACACTGATAGTATTTGTTTTTGTTAGAATCTGGGGGTTACAGAAAGCAAGCATAGTGGTATTGAGTAGTAAAAACAGAATTTAAGCGATTAGGCCAGTATTCATTTGACACAGTCTTTAAATCAGCAATCCAATTGACCCTTTAAAAATGAGATTCTTTTTCGAGAATGACTGTGCCCTTAGATTGTATTGGCCCTTTATTATATGTTATACCAGAATATGCTCTGAAAATTTATATGGTTGAATTTTATAGGTCACTTTCAACAGAAATTTGGGGATATCCATTATATGTCTCCTTTGATATGGAATGATATAACTACATTAGTTTGGCAAGAAAAATATAAAGAAAAGTGTAGGCCCTGTTACTTTTTTTCCTTTGAGGTCTTTCATATGCCTAATTACTTCCAATTAAGAACAGTTCTTTTTTATTAGTGACTACTGTAACTTACTGGTTTTCATCACGGCAAAACTTGAAATTAGTGATACTATTATATTTGTATATGTAATTTTTTAACCTGCATAAAGTAAGGATTTCTCCATTCTTTTACACACAGATTACATAAACACAAAAGGGCATTTTTATAGAACCTAGATGTACAAAGGAACTCATGATTCTTTTAAACTTCTTTTATGCCTTTTTACAACTGAGTAAGGAAAAGTGTTTATGTTTAATTCAGCTATGTTTCTTAGTAACTGTATGATTCTATACATTATTCTTGTGTCATTTTTATGTTTTTTATGAAAAAATTATGTTGACATCTCTTCATATTTTAATTCACTTCAATTCTGTTTTGCTCCAATTATATGATTTTTGAGAAAGGAATGGGAAAACTAAGCAACCTTTACCTGCCATCTTATTGTAATTACTCTCCTGGAATAGCCAAATTGATAGGATTATAATAATTTCTCTCAAAATCTGAAGTCTTCTGGGAAAGATAATATTAAGGTTTATCCAGAACCAGCCATCTTTGTAGACATTTCTATTTGGTTGATTTATAAAGATTTAGTACAGTAAGTTAATAAGCATATTTCTTATTCTGTGATCACTAATTAGAAAATAACATTTTTGTCGCATAAAGATAAAAGAAAGTAAATTTTCACTTACATTTTAGTCAAATCCCATGCCAGTACAACATTATCTCCTATAAAAGAGAGTAATTCAATCTACTTAAATGTATTGAAGAATGGTTTCCTTCAGAATTTTTTTTTTTTAATAATCACTTTTCTCAGGAAATCTCTTATGTCCTTTCTTGGACATTTTCACCGGTGTGATAGCATTGTTTTTATTTTTTTTTTATCATTTCATTGGTCACTGTCAGCAGTTTTCCCTGATCAAGAGAAGCAAGTATTTACCTTAGAGTAATTCAGATTTTGAAAATTCAGTGTTTCGTTATTTTTATAATTACTGTTCATTAATAACATTAATTTTTATAAGACAGTGATATTTTTCAAGCTTTTTATCATATTTCCTGCAGTAGGATGAGCTATATTTTTATTATAGCCCTGGGATTTTTGTTATATAAGTCAGCTTGTTTGTATTGCTAACTTGCAAGTATTACTTTAATTGTGTTGACATGCTATTGACATGAAAGAAAGAACTTTGGAGCTTAATAGTTTCTTTTTTCTAAATTGGCAGATTTTTTGAATGCTTAGTAAAAATGCATTATGTTAATTTTTAAATCTGACAGAACTTTGTGTCTGAGGGCTGATTTGTAGTATTGCCTCTGTTTTCAATGAGCTGTGGAACCTTGCGATTTTATCTTTTGGGACCTCAGTTTAACCATCTGTAAATGAAAGAAAAAGGGGGTTAGACCAGGTCGTGTCTCAGATTCCACCTGTCTCTGGCTTGGTTATCCCTTGACTATTTTATAATCATTATCTTATTCTTGTTATTCCCCCCATGAACTCTATATACTAGATCAGTCTGCAATGTTAATGCAAGTTGCACTTAAATTGATAGGATTCAGCTCTGTTGCTGATTTTGTTTTTCATTCTTGATTTTAGGTAATTATAAAGGAGGAAAATTATAGATTGTAAAAGTAAAAAAAAGGTTACAAATAATCGACATGACCTTTTTTCCTCCTAAGGGAAAAATCTCCTAAGGAACCAATATAAAACTGATGTACAGAAAAAAATAACATCTAAAATTGTGTGGTCTTTGTTCTCTTAAATATGAGCATAGCTACTTAGGCTAAACTTTTAATCAAAATGTATTAAGGTAAAATTAGTAAACAAAGCATATAACAGTTATATGGCCCATATAACTAATTAAAAAGCTATTAGATTTTGCTGACATTAAAATAATTATAAAATACAAAAAGAATTGAGGACTGGATTTAAATTTGTCTGTTAAGTAATTACCTGTAAGCTGAATTCTTAGATTCTTTGCATAACTACAGTTGCCAGATTGCCATGAGCAAGTGAATGTCCTGCTTTAATATATTCTTAGAGATACATGTGGTTTCTTTATTTTTTCAGCTCTGCAGAAGATGTTTCTGTAAAGCCTCCTTCTGTAGTAAAATGTAGAGATTGTATTACTTCCATCTCTCGACAAAGTTCCCTTGTAGATTTATTGATAATTACATTCTCTGAGAACCAGGCCATAGAGATTCCTGTTACGCTTAAAGATCATTGTCTTTGTTCTAATTGTCTTCATTAACTCCTGTCAATCTCTTGAACCCTTGGTCTGTAGATTTACAATCTAGGTACTGGGTTTGGTGTCTGGTGGGTAGAGAAGAATAATGGAAATTGATACAGGAAGGTACACTGGTTTCTGATGTAATTTGTTTGGCTGTACTCGATTCCTTGTCTTTGGTCAGTTCACTGGATCAGGCAGCTCTCCTGACTTCCGAAAGTTCAGTTAGATGCCCAGCGTCTCTCATTCACACATTGCTATATTACAGTGTTATATTAACCACCTGTTAAGAACTACCACCACAACCTTCTTTTCAGTTCTCTGACTCTCTGTGTTTTGCTATTATATTTGTTAAATCTTAAGTCTGAGGTCTAAACATTTCATTGAGTATTTTCTGGGTTGATAATGGAATATTCTATAAGGTAAAACAGATAATCCTAGGGTGGTTTAATTTATATTTATCCATCCATCATTTTTCTTTTTCTAACTGACCCCTCCTCAGTTTTGAAAATTAAGTTTATAAATATCTTCTGTTTTTCCCTTAGCCCTGCCTCAGATAATTTTTTTTTGAACTACTCTTGTTGGCAGAAAGGTTTAATATGAAATAATTCTGTGTTTCTGAGACAAGATCAACACAGTAATTCTTTACATTGTGCTGAGGTAACCATGTACTTGAAAATGTTGCAGTTTCTTTATATGTGAACTTAAAATTCTTTTTTTTTAATCATGAAAAGGACTCTCTGATTTGAAAACATTAGTTTGGAAGTTCTCTTGTCATCAGGTGCTATTTCTACCGTAGCTGTGAACTATCATAATAAATCTGAATTCTTTATCATTCATCTTTTTAAAAAAGTTAATCCCTTTAAAATGAGCCCATTTCACAAATCTTTTTTTTTTTTCCACAAATCTTTAATACCAACTTCAAACAACTTTTCTGCTTTTATTTTCAAATGCCGCACTCTATTTTTAAGTTTTATTTTTTCATTGAAGTTTAAACATATTACATATGTGAAGGAGTGACTACAGTTTGAACACTTACTTTGGCATGATAAAGAGAGCTACACCATCCATAATCGCTTTCTCCCATTACCAGAAAGAAAAGTTTGACACTTCAAAGCTGTTAAATTGTCTTATTTTTATTTGAAAGACCTATGGAAGCTGTTTCTTCTCATTTAAACTGTTTAAGAAAATGCCAACTTTGCTGTATTTTAATCTGATAGTGCTGTATTTTAATCTGATTGGGATTGTTTATATAAATATATATGTCTACAGTTTATCATAGTTAATAGTTATTTCACTTTCTGTAATATATGATACCTGAAGCTCACATTTATTTAATGTGAGTGGGTTTTTTTTTTTTTTGAGCCCCCTTTTTTGTTTTGTCTTTTTTTTTCTTAGTGTTGTACATTTTTGTATATGTTAGGTTAACATGGTCATCTCAGTAGAAAGCTGTTAAGTAGATGGTTTTTTGTTTTTGAGAATCAGCCCAAGGAAATTCATATTACATGGCCATAGCTGGGTAATACTATTCTGAGCTATGTGAAGTTGCTGGTTTTATTGATCAAATGTTAGCAGTTTCATAATACATATTCAAGAAACAACCAAACAAAAGATCTTTTAGAAGAGATATTTCAACTTCCCAGTTCAACTCTTTTAAACAACCTACCAGAGGCTTTATAAAGATTCAAACTACAGATAACCAGAGGCCTATCAAGAAAATTCTGCTTTGTTTTGCTGTTAAATTGCCCAGTTTTCAAAGGTACTTAATCAAAATGACTTCAGTAATTGAAGCAAATATCTTTTGGGAATGTTTAAGTTATATCAGTTTTTCATTAAATCTGTGTATAGTTTTTCAGCTTTCATTCACTGAGATATTGTCATATATCAAAGGATTAGCCTGTAAATATCACTTGAAGGCAAAATAACTACCCCCTGCCAGTATCTAATATGGACTCAATTTTGCCAGCTATAGAATTTTGTCTTCTTAGCTATAGAATTTTGTCTTCTTAGTATGCATTCTAAAATAATAATATTATGTTATGTAGCCAACAGATTTGCCTAAACATGCCGTTTTAAAGATTTTCTTTCTACCTGTGTTTCAAGTTATAAGAATTAAAATGTATGAGTATAAAAAAGGATATAAAAATGAGAAGCTCCTACCTAGGAGATCCCCAATTTTAAATAGAACTGTGTTTTGAAAGGTTGCGGATTGGGTTGTTCCAAAGTCAGACTACATCTTCTCATATATGTTAAATTATGAATAATAAGGGTAGTATATAGCCAACAAGAGCTGACCTAATGCTCTCCAAAATTAACCTAGGGGTCTCAGTTTGCAATAAAGTGTTCTCAACTATAGCCTTTTCACCTGTTTTAAAGAAACAAATACATTGTTGTTAGCACAGATGACTATCAATTAGTAGAATAAATATTTAGCTTTAAAACAGAAGTGGAAATAGTTCAATCAGTGTTGGTGAAACTGTTTTGAGACAAGAGATTTCATTTAGGTGACTTAAGTTGGGAATCTGCTTCTCTTTCGAAGAGCCCATGTGATGACTGAAAGTGCTGTGTGGTTTTGGTGACCTTGAGGAAGAAAGCCAGTCATTTCTTCTTAAGAGTCGTAAGAAGTAGGGACCTTGCTGGTCTCATGCTTTTCAGTTCAGAAGCTGTGTCCAGAACATCTTAGATATCCTTCACCCACATTGTTCAAAGGCTGTCTGTACTTCAGGCTCAGTCTACCCTCCCTTCAGCTGAGCCTGTCTTCCAGCTCTGCTCCCTCATACTGAATTCACAGGTGGGCATTCTCCATTCTTGTTTTTTTTTTTTTAACTCTTTACTCATTTTACTGTTATGAGAAATGACCACCACTTTCTCCTTTTCTCAAGAAATATAAAGGTAGAAGAGATATTCCTTTTCCATTATTTTTAAAAGCTATTATTTTTGAACTGCTGACATTTAGCAGTTTAGTTTTTAGACCCTAATCTGAATTAAGTTGATGGAGGTGATCCTAAAATTGATCTAAAGTTTTAATCTTGTTTTATCATATAAGCATCTGGTTGGAAACTGTGCTGATGAAGATTTGTATTTTGTGGCATTAGTTCTTCATGTTTCTTTTTTATGTATTTAAAATTGATCATTAATTTCCAAACGAGTGGAGAATTTACCGTTGTTGAGCTATATAGAGGGCAAGTGTGCTTGATTAGAGCATGAACTGTACTTTCACATTAGCTGATGTGCTTTGCACTCTGCTCTTGTAGATTTATTTTGTTTACAGTAGACTGATGTCAAGTTTTTGTAAATGTTTTTACTTAGCACTTTAACTGTGAGTGTACAAACTGATTTTAAATGTAGTGGTTGTATATTTTGGTTATAAATTGGAAATTTGTAATAAAAATGAAATGATTTGTTCTCTATTTTGTCATCAGTACCTGATTGAGTGTAATTTTCTACATCATCTACACTGCTATTTTTAAATTAGATTTCATATTTTATGTTTTTCTAATTACTAATTTTTTCATTCACAATACCATAGACTCCACAGTAATCTGGAATATAGATATATCATTCTGTATCATATCCCTGGAATACAGATACATCATTCTGAATGCTATCCCGTCTCTATTCATTATTATATCCCCATGCACACCACTACCAGGTGTACATAACAGGAGAAAAAGATGAATGCATTCAAGTACCTAAATCAATTTCCCCAATAGGAAGTCCTACCCATGTAAGCAAATCAGTTGTTTTTTTTTTCCATACACAGGACAGCCGATTAAGACTTAAACCGGTACTAGAGTGTTTTTTGCCTAGATCGTGCATTCTTTAGTTGGAAGCGACCTTAGAAATCATAAGGTTCAACTTCCAACCCAGTACCAACATCCTCCAAAACCATCTTTTATAAGCCTCTGCTTGAATTATTTCAGTAACAGGGAGCTTACTACTGTAAGGCCCTCCATTCCATTTTGAAGTTAGCCGACAACCAAAATGAGCAAAGTGAGCAAGGAAATTAACACTCCCCTGAAGTCTTCATAAAGGAGCTGCTGGCATCTTCATTTCAGCCCCTTGAGACCAATGTCAGACTTCTAACTTACCAAAGGTGATAAGTTGCTTAAGTGTTGCTTAAGCCCATAAATTTAGGGTAATTTATTAGAGCAGCAGTAGAGAACTAAAATATTCAGCCTCACACTTGCACATCTGCAAAGCATGGGCAATGAACAAGCAAGGAATGGAAAATGGCCCAAGGAATCCATTAAAGTTCCATTGCTTAGAACTGGCCTGTTGCCATGAAACATACTGTTGAGTTTGCTTGGAGAAGTTGGAGGTACTGAGATTAATAAGAGCCATCAGTCTCTGGTGCCCTTCTTCCAATATTATCCTTCAGTTTTTTTCACCGTTATTGTCCAGTTTTCTGTTTATTCCCACTTCTCCTTTATCTTCTCCTCCATTGTACTTTCCTCCTTTTTTAAACAATGCTCTTTATTTTTTGCTGCTAATCAAGTGTATGTTTTTACCAACCTCACACTCCCACTAGCATACCCACCCAATTTGTTGGCAGGAGATAAGGAGCAGAATATGGGAGGAGCCATGAGAGAAGGTTGAGATTTTCCAGCGTGCCAAGAATTAAAAAGGTAAGGAACGTAGCTTTACCGCCTGGTCTCTGAGTACTCCAGTGCAGCACACAAATTCACCAATGAGGGTTATTTCCAAATCCATTTATTAGAAAAAAAAAAAAAAACTAAGCAGGCACTCAAAAGTATTTTGAAGATAATTAAAGGTTTTTGCTAAGGTACTGATTAGTGACTGTCTTCTATCTTGCTGCTGAAAAATTATGTTAAGCCCTTTTCACTTTCTCTTAGCTCAAAATTAAGGCCACCTTAAGGAGCTAAGGGAAGATTTTCATCAACTTCAAGTAACATTAGATGAGCTACTGAACAACAGTAAATACAATAGAAGCATCTAAACACTTAAGTGAATCAGTGAAGCATGTGCATTTTTATTTTAAGAATTGTTTGGCACCAGATTTTTTAGGAAAGTGTTTGCTGAGTATGATGACTAAGATCCATGCACTAACATCTATGTACAGGCTTCTGATTTCCCACGTGTCCTGCTGGCTACAAGGGCAGAAGGGACATTGTTCTCCGGCAACAGATTGGGCTCTGGTGGAGCCAGTTTAAAAGCACTATTGGTAATAATCCCAAGGGCACAGATATTACCTCAGTCATCAATTTAATAAATTCCAAATGAACCCTTAGCACAAAGACAAGGAGAGAAGTCTCCTTCATTTCCAGTGTGAAGATAAGCATTTCTGAAAATTCCAGACATTATGTGGGCCACATTAGCTGTCAGAAGTTGGCTTGTTTCTAGAGCTGTTGCCGCAGCAGTAAAACCGATGAGCAGACGTGGGGGAGAGCGGAGGCATTTACCGAACGGCCTTTGCTTCCTCTTCTGTCCCAGTCAGCGTTAGGGTTCTTGCAGAAGCATGACATATTTCATTAGAGGCTTGGTTTGCTGTCACAGTTTTAGTTGCTTTTCCAGAACCAAAGGTTATGTTCATATTGTTTTTCATGTCTGTTGATGAAAGTAATTTTAGAAAATGATTTTTCAAGTCTCTGTGACTGTTCATTAGCATTCATTCATTTGTTCAGTAAACATGCATTTGTTTACCTACTCCTTATCAGGTAGTGAATAAGACCCTAGAAATTCGAACAAGAAAATGTCGTGATTTATACTCCTTCAAAGTTCACACTCTAGTAAGGGGATAAGCTTGTAAACACCTGAGTACTATAATGGTGGTGTGTTCAAAGTGTTATTTGAGCACAAATGTGGAAGTAGTTACTTCTGCCATGAAGACTGGGTGTTCAGAGAACTATTAGAAGATGACAGATCCAATCAATAGGAATTTATTAATCACCTAACAATTGCTGAGGTTATGGTAGGGAATAAATAGACAGTTGTCCTGTTGTAGGTCTATAATGGAAAGTTTGAGTCTAAAGAGAGGAAGCAGACAATAAGTAAAGACATTAACAGATTAGTTTCAGATAGTAATAAGTGTTACGAGATACAACTTAAGGGTCTTGGTTAAACAATATGGATTTTATTCAAAGTGCAAAGGTGTGCCATTGAAGCATTTTAATTAAGGGATTAACATGACTAATTTTCCTTTTTAAAAAATTATTCTGCTGGCTCTATGAAAATGGATTATGAAAATCAAGAGTGCACACAGGGAAACCAATAAAAAAAAAAAGCAATTGCATTAGTACAGGTTAGAGATAATAATGACGAGGACTCAGGTGGCAGTTGTAGAGATGGACGGGAAAGGGAAAATTCAGGATGTCTTAAAAGTAGAGTCAGTACCACACACTTAGAAAATGAACTTATGATTGCCAGAGGGAAGGGATGGTTAAGGACTTTGGGAATGTCATGCACACACTGCTATATTTAAAATGGATAAACAACAAGGACCTACTGTATGGAGCATGGAACTCTGCTCAATGTTATATACTGGCCTGGATGGGAGGGGGTTTGGGGGAGAATGGATACATGTATATGTATGACTGAGTCCCTTCAATGTTCACTTTAAGCTATCACAACATTGTTAATTGTCTATATCCCAATAAAAAATGCTTTTGGTGTTTAAAATTTTATAAATAAATACTTCAAGATAAAAATAGAATCAGTAAGACTGACATACTGGATGTGATAGTGACAGGAAGGGGGTGAATGAAAGATGAGTCCTAGTTCTTTGGTTAGAGCTGTAAGGTGGAGTCAGGGCCACTTACTATGGTGGAGAAAACTGGAGGAAGAATAGATGCTGGAGGGGAAAACCAAAAGTTCTGTTTTGGACGGGTTTAAAGTGACCATTACCCAAGTGAAGATGCCAAGTAAGCAGATGGATGTAAGTCTAGAGCTCAGTTCAAGATTTTGGCCTGAGACCAAAATGTGAGAATCATCGAGATGTAGGTAGGTTATAAAGCCACCAGCTTATAGGAGATGACCTTGGGAAGACTGGAGAGAGAGAATTTGTGTAGAAGACAAAAGGTCAGGAAAGGACACTCAGAAGGAGTGTCCCAGGAATATCCAGGGAATGTGTTGAAGAAGCCAGGAAAGAAACGCTGTATAAAGGAAGGAGTCCTTAAACCAGTCATTTTAAAGGTCAAATAAGATGATGACTAAGGAAGACCATTTGATTGGACAACACGGAGGATACTGGAAAGAACAACTTAAGGGGAATTCCCGGGCCATCCAGTGGTTGGGACTCCATGTTTTCACTGCCAGGGGCCCAGTTTCAGTTCCTGGTCAAGGGGCTAGCGTGGTGTGGCAAAAACAAAAAACCACCACCACCACCACCACCAAATGGAGTGGGAAGGGAGGCAGCCTGGAGTGGCCTGAAGAGTGAATTGGGGACTTGCATTTTTAGCAGTTGGAAGATTAGATAATTTCAATGACCATCCCAATGTAAACAGTTAAAAATCATCTTTGTGATTGTGTTGCTAAACTGGCATGATCTTAACAAAGGTCAAAAACAAAGTGAAAGCAAGAAACACTGGTGATAAGGTAGCACCAACACCAAAAACTCGAGTTTTCTGCTGAACCCTAGAGACACTACCATATTTGGGGGGCAAGCTTAAAGTCACAATATCAATTGGAGGCTGTGATAAATCTCTGCAGAGAGCTGGGACTTCAATGGGTCATACCTTCAATGTAAAGGAGATGGAAGAAAAGAAAGTCACACAGAACGAGACATCAAAGAAATCTGAACCCGAGTTTAGCACTGTTTGGCAGGAGTATGGTGGACTTTCCCCGAGAACAATACATTATTTGGTCCAAATATATACTGCATGTGGCTTGAACCTTAAGCCAAGAATATAACTCAAAGTGTCCTGGTTTGCTTGTTACTCCAGGCAGTTGTCAGAAGAAAATGCACATCTTTGGAGGAAAGCAGTCTAATGTTGGGAAAGACTGGGGGCAGGAGGAGAAGGGAGCGATAGAGGATGAGATGGTTGGAGGGCATCACTGACTTGATGAACATGAACTTGAGCAAATTCCAAGAGATGGTGAAAGACAGGGAAGCCTGGCGTGCTGCAGTCTGTGGGGTTGCAAAGAGTCAGACATGACTTAGTGACTGAGCAACAACAACGACAACGTTAACTTAGCTGCCAAGGAATTTCCACAGAGAAATTTCCAAGGGAAAGGAGCAGTTCATAGTCAAAGCTAGCAACACACACACTAAAGAACAAGACATCAGGAGTGAGAATCTATTCTCCAAAGACTGAAGAGTTTTAGAGTTAGCACACAATATAAAATAACAATTTAACATGTTTAAAGAAATCGAAGAAGGTATTAGATGTATAACACAATACTGTGAAAAATGACTAGGCAGGTTTGAAAAAAAAAGGCCTAGCTGAATGTC